TCTTCGTTGGTGTGGCCCAGGAGGGGTTGTCTTTGCGCTTACAGATGGCTCCAAGGCTATACCCGTGCCCATTCGAGCAGCACTGATTGGACTCGGAGAGTCACTTTTCTTTTTTTTTAAAATGTGTATGGGTATTTTACTTACGTGTACATCTGTGTGTCATCTACACTCCTGGTGCCTTTGGAGGCCAGAAAATGGGGTTAGAGACAGTTGTGAGCTGCCATACGGAGGCTGGATACCCAACCCAGGCCCTCTGGAAGAGCAGCCAGTGCTCTAAACCCCTGAGCCATCTCTCCAGTCCCTCAGTGAGTTAGTTATGAACATGAAGGGAGGTTGTCCAGAGGTAGTGGGGAGTGGATATGGCAGGCTGTCTTGTGGATTGTGTACATATATGAATTCTCAAAAAAATCTGACTGGAGCCTGGCGGTGGTGGCGCACACCTTTAATCCCAACACCCAGGAGGCAGAGGCAGGCGGATCTCTGGGAGTTTGAGGCCAGCCTGGTCTACAAGAGCTAGTTCCAAGACAGCCAAGTTTATACAGAGAAACCCTGTCTCAGGGGGTGGAAATCTGACTGGAGTTACATGGGTGAAATTTGGAGAGTGGCCTGTTATAGACTCTCTGGGTGTATGTGGCATTCTAGGAAGTTTGTCTACCTAACATCATAAGTAGGGGAGAGTTCTGATGGTGCTCACTGTTGTGCTTTGAGACTAGATGTTGCCAAAAATCATTCATTCAACTGATATGCAATGTTGTGTTTTCTGTAACAGAATCTCAGCAGGGAATGCTACGAATGCCTGTCCCTTGCTGAGCCTGCAGGCTGGACAGCTAGGGGTGGAGGCAAGGACAGAGGAGCTGCACTCCTCCCTCAGCCCATACTCATGCGGTATGCCAGCCGCTGTTGAAATCATGAGAAAGTTATAAACATCGCGTTTCCTGTAGTTAAAATGGAAAGGGGAAGATAGACCAATTACAAGTTAAAGTGGTCAGGGCTGGCGGGAGACGGCTTTTTCACTGTAACTCCTGTATTTGCTGTCTGTGGAGCTGAGGCCTAGGTGGACCGAGCGTACCTGAGGACGGGGAGGAGTCTGTACAGAGCACAGCTGGCGGTCTTGAGCCTTGTTTCAGGAAGTCAGAGCAGGTTAGCAAGTGAGGTTCTGAACTCATCCGTTTAACAGACAGGAAATCAGGGAGCATTTGTAGCATGAGGATGGCTGGAATGTATCTGGTGAGTGGTGAGTGTCTGGGTTCTGGGCCCAGTGAAGAGAAGAAAGATGAAGGCGTGCCCGCACCTGCTGAGACCAGTGGAAAGAGCTGAAGCAGAAGACATTCTCCAAATGCCTTAGTGTGGGCTGCTAAGGGTTCTGAGCCTTATTTTGAAATTTTTAAGAATTCCATTAAAGACATAACTCCAGGGCTGGAGACATGCATGACTCAGTGGTTAAGAGCACTTACTGCTCTTCCAGACACAGAACTGTTTGTTCAAGAACACCTACTGTAAGGATTCTATGTGGAACTTTCTTCTTTAATTATGAGTGTTCATCTCCTGTACACACTGAGAAGTAGTGTCACTAAAGAGTGTTCCCAGTATTAGAGGGCTAATGAATGTTGAGTCAAGATGGGCCAGGTTGTAAGCTCAGGACACTGGGCAGACTGGGATTCCACCCCAAGTCTTCAGGCATGTGGTCCTAAGTATTGTCTCCCACACTGCCCGTTGTGGTCTTGAAGAATGACTTTGGGTCACATCAACATGTTCTGCTGGCTTGATATAGAATCTTTCTGAGACTTTGGTGTATGCGTATTGTGTCTTGACAATTTGTTGGGTATTTGTTTGCCAAAGCAGGTTTACATGACGGTTTTAGATTCTAACATCTAAGCTTGTACACAGAAATGTCACTATTTCAGAAGCTGAGTGCGCACACAACCCATTCAGAAGACAGCGACAGTTGGAGGGGGACTAGTGTTCACTTGTGCAAGGCTTAAGAGAGAAATTCCTGAGACTTTCACAAGTTTCAGGAAGAGGAGACTCAGAAAAACTTGACTGGTTTTGAGTCCCAGACCTGCTACTTCCTAACTTAGCGTCTTCATCTGTTTTGTGATGGGTTGTGAGGCTTCTCAGTGAGTTCATGCTCTTCTCAGAACGCAGACTGTGCCTACTGTGTGCTGACAACAGTTTGTACTCACTTGAAATTGGCCTGAAGTCAGATTACTTCCTCCAGGAGGTCATTGGGTCTCCGTTCTAAGGAGACTCCTTGAGAGCCCTGTACTTTAACCACTCCACAGGGTGTGTGCTGGTCACGGTGTCCTCCGTGATTTCAGAGAGGAGGAGGGTTGGTCTGACATGACAGCAGTAAAGAGTTTCCTCTTTGCGTACAAATTGTAAACGGTTTTCCTTCATTATCACTAAGCAAGAATACACAGGCAAGTGCGTGGAGTAGAATCAACTCTAGCGTTATTTGTTCTAGTAGATAAATTATCAATCAAACAGTATTGACAAATTCTACATAAAATTGTAGTTTTCTAAGGATAAATCTAAATGATTTTTAATCTTTGTTTTTCTTATTCTAATTCCAGTTTTTTAACCTTCTTTTTACATCTTATTTAAAATGTTGGCATCTTTCCCCTTCCCTTTCAAGGGTTGTTTTACATTTCTTTTCCCTTCCATTTTTATCACCTTGCCCATAAGGCTTTGATATATGGGGTATGGTAGTCTAGTTTTGAAAAACACCCAAAAGCCTGGCTTGAGAATGTGAATTGAGATGATGGAGACCTTCTCTCAATAGAAGAGACAAGAACCAAAAAAATAAATAAAAATTTTAAAAAAAGAAGAGAAAATTTAACTTAGCAAATTTCCTCCTCAGGACCATGTCTGAAGCCTAGCTTTATATTGTTTTACTAAATTTTGACTGTAGTTAAAGATCTTTCTTTTCAGCTTTCTACTGATTGATGATTGATTGATGGCTGGCTCACACTCTCAGACATCAGATTGTCTAGCATCATACATACTCCTTTTCCGGCTTTCTCACCTTGCTTTTGCTATTAAAGCTTAAACTGGTGCAGAGCTGTCTGGGTCCTTCATGGTCTCTTCCTTGCTCTTACCGTTGCCTGTGTCCACGTACCTTTTTCCTTTTTTGTTTTGTTTGTTTATAGAGTAACGCTTTCTTTGTGTAACAGTCTGTTTATACAGCAAATATTATAAAGACATCAGCAAATAGGTAAAGGACTCTTTTTTGCTTCACTGTTACTTTCCTGTTTTTTTTTTTTTGAAACAGGATCTCTGTAGCTTTGGCTATCCTTGAACTCACTTTGTAGACCAGGTTGGCCACAAACTCGTGGAGATCCACCTGCCTTCTGCCTCCCAAGTGCTAGGATTAAAGGCATGCGCCACCACCACCACCCAGCCCATATCTGTAATTTATGCCTCACACTTTTCTTCATGATAGTCTGGTATTGGGGAAAAACTTTCTGAACTAATGCCTTTTTCCAGAACTAGCAATCAAACCCAGGATCTAATAAATACTAGGCAAGCTCTCACCTGTTAGCTATCTAACCCTTTAAAAAGATTTTAAAGATAAGGTTGGGTTAATGCTGGCCTTGAACTTTTTATTGTGTGAGTTTGCCTCAGTCTCCTGAACAATTGAGATTACAGGGTGTGAGTGTGTGAATGAGACGGAGAGAGACACTATACCTGGTCCACTTGGATTTAGTTCTTGTAAGTCTGCCAATCTTAGTGAAATTAATAATAATTAAAGCTTGATAGATTTCTTGTAATAGGAACGCTGGCAGAAGTTTAGGGCAATAGATTTACGGGAAAGAGAAGTGTTGGAGTTCCAGACCTACCTTATATGTGCCTGCTTGTTCATCTGTGTATGGGGACAAGAACAAGACCAAGCAGGTGGAGTCACAGTGTGGATTTAAATGTGGTAGTGCCATCATCACATGGTGGAGATGAGTTGTCATGGCCTGTTGCTTTCCCTTGGCCCATGAGTTATCAGATGGGCTAGGGTCCCTGAATAGGTGGTGAAGGCCATGATATCACTGATGGTTCTGACCAGGATAGAATGGTGTTGCTAGGCAACAGAGTTGTTACTTAAGAACACTGAAAATATCAAGGTCTCTCGATTGTCCAGTTGTGGCTCACTAAGGCTCACTAAGTCTAGTGGTCACCGTCTGTCAGTCACACAGTATCTTAGAACTTTCAACTTTTTTCAGTTTTTCAAGACAGGGTTTCTCCGTGTAGATTCTGACTGTTCTGGAACTCACTCTGTAGGCCAGACTGGCCTCAATTCACAGAGAGCCTGCCTGCCTCCGCCCCCGCCCCCTGAGTGTTGGGATTAAAGGCATGCACCACACCAACCTTTGAACTTTTAAACACCTTGTGTATTTTTCAAAAATATCTTAGGGGTGAACTTTCTTCCCAGTTAAAGTTTTGAGAGTTCTGTCTGCCTGAGGATGGTTGGGCGGTTCCATAATTTTCTGGGCCTCCTATCATTACTTACTCCGCAGACGCTTCCTTATGAACGTAGGAAAATCTTTTTGCCTCCCAACGGGTGTCTAGCCCTCTCCAACACTTCCAACAAATTTAGAATTTCAGCCACAGTCCTCTTATGCTAGCAGTTTCTGTTCTGCTTTACAACAAACCATTTAATATTTCTAGACTTTAATAGTCTGTATTCTAGATTCTTGGTATAAGTTTGTTGTATAAATAATGGGTCTAAATGGAGCGTGGCTGTGTCAGCTAAAGTGTGCTTTTAATCTGACCCCTTAAAGTTCTCATCTTTGTCTTTGGGGATGTTAGTTTCATTATTTAATGGTTTAGTTTTCATGGAGGAGATTTAGGTATGTGTTCTGCCTTATTTTTCTATGGACAGAGATTGCAGTTCTAATGTATTACTTTATATCTAATTGTGTTTGTTCTTTTTAAGCTAGTCCTGCTCAGCTTCTTAAGGTACCAGATCGAAACCAACTCCAAGCCAACTGTGTCTGTTTTCTGTGTTGTAGGACCTCTTCCTGATGGATGGGAGCAGGCCATGACGCAGGATGGAGATGTTTACTACATAAACCACAAAAACAAGACCACATCCTGGCTGGACCCAAGACTTGACCCTCGTTTTGGTAAAGGTTTACTTCAGAACCTTTGTGGTCATTTGGTGATAGTCTAAGGGTTGGGGGATGTAGGAAAAGACATCTCAGTGAAACTGCACTGCCTTGCAGTTAGCAGTGGCCGCACACCCACTGTGGGTTTTGTTTAACCTTGAGATCTCTAGGTCCACAACAGCTTTCTGACCTGGGGTGAGCTGTGGATGTTGTAAAAGCTCAGGGCCATGGTGTCTTGACTGCTTTATTCTTACGATGCTTCTTGGAAGCGGGCCATCATTCAGGCACGTGTACAACCTGGACCGTCAGGGCTGAAGGTGCGGCTCACCCTGAGCACCAGGCCAAGCCTAAGGAAAGCTTTTTACAACCATTTGGGATATGTGGTTTTTTTTTTTTTGTTGTGTGTGTTGTTTTTTTTTTTTTTTTTTCCCTAGTTAAGGTCCTTTCCGGCACTTTTTATTTAGGAAATGAAAAGCAAAGCAGAGCCCCGTCTAAATTTGGTGAGGGTCTCTGTGCCCTGTTTCTCCTTTTTGTCTATATTTCCTTCCTGGTGGTAGTTTCAGCTGATGGCTTTCTGCATCTCCTTCCAAAGCATGGAAAATGGATGTAAAAAGGAACAGATAATTTGGTTTGAGCACTCATCCTGGCCCTGGGCTGCTTAATGGAAACAATGTGTGGATCAGTGCTGGTCAGACACGGCTGGCGGAGCCTTTGAAGCATCCCTTGGGCTGACCTGACCACGCCACAGGCTTTACTGGGAAGGAGAATTAACTCTGTGAATGCCTTCAACACAACCCCAGGGCTGGGTGAAAATAACAGCCTCCAGTATAGACAGCCCCCCCCCCATCTATTTACTTGGAAACAAACAACAATAAGAAGTTTGAGTGAACTTTGAGTGTCAGCTTTATGGACTAGTTGACACCCCTACCCCCAAGGAAAATCAGAGGTGGGGTTGCAGCCTAGACGGTCATTTCGATAGCCAGTTTGGCTCAAATACCAACTGTTTGAGCTTCCAAACCTGTTGGGGTGCTAAGAAAGTAATGTACGTGTTAGCAGTTGGCAACTTCAGATTCTTTTTAATACTTGAATAGCCCTGTGGTTGAAAACCCCTTAAACGCTGCATTGGTATCCACGGGATGATAACAGCCGTGTTTCCTTAATCATATTTGATGATTCAGTTCATCTGCCCTTGTGTGCCACCGCCACTAGCCTTTAACACACTCACACTCTCTCTACTTTCTTCTTTATTCTGTGCGTGTGTGTTGTTGAAAGAGAAAGAAAAGAATTGGGGAAAGCATTAGCAGTAAAGGGGAGAATCTTGACTGTTAGTTTACAGCTGAGTCTTTTAAGGAACAGTGGGTATTTAAGGTGGGAAAAAAATACAACATACAACATACTCCTGCCACATGCAACATGCACACATGCACGCACACGTGTCCGCGCTTGATAGTGATACAGCAAATGTCTCCTGTCCCCTTCTCCCTTTCGTTTCCCTTTTTGGGCCCACTGTGGATGTGTATTCCAGACAGGGTTGACTACACGCCAGAGCTTTTGATTTTGTGGCCCGACTTTTAATCTGTTCCAGACCTTCGCCGTCAGAGCTGAAGTGTAAGTGGGGGGCAGGGAGAACAACCAAGTGGGCGTCTCTGCTCTAGAGTATGAGCAGAGAGAAGAAAGCTGTTAGCTGCTGGAGTTGACGCTTGCCTTTAAACCCAGCATTCGTTAGCTACAGTGGGTTGTGTATGTTTTATCTCTGCCAGGGAAGTATAAACTGCCCCTCTCGTTTCTGACCCTGAGGCCATGCAGACACTAGCACATGGTGTCAGTTATTGCTTCCATGAGTGTGGAGTTTGCTTTCTTCCCTGTGTTCCCAAATACAGTGGAGTCTTAGCTAAGCCAAGTAAAAAGGATGAACTGAAACTTAGCACCTGCTTCAACAGCGACCTCTCAAGTTTATATTCTTTGTTAGATTCTTTTTATAGAACAGCTCCCTTGGTGGTTGTTACTGCTTTTGGTTTTTCGAGACAGGGTTTCTCCGTGTAACCCTGGGAATTCTGAAACTCTATGTAGACCAGGCTGGTCTCGAACACAGATCTGCCTGTCTCTGCTCTCAAATGCTGGGATCAAAGGTGTGTGCCACATCTTTATTTTTTGTGTGGTTAGCATGCACTTGTGGAAGATGCTGGTTGTTAAACTTGGCTCTCTGCTTTTAGCGGCATTAAAGAGTATGATAATGTTATGTAGTATTTATGCTGACTTTAAATTATTTCATATTTTGGACTACAGAGATAAATGACTCAGTGAGTAAAGTATTTAAAGTCCAAATATGAGGAGCCCAGTGTGTGTGTGTGTGTGTGTGTGTGTGTGACCAGGTTGGCCTACTTGAGCTATTTCAACAGTCCCTGAACTATTTTGGTCTCTGGTTTTGCCTCCTGAATATTGGGATTAAAGGTATGCGCACCTCCACACCCAGATTTTTATTTAACCATTTCTTTTAATTTTATGTTCTTTTTTAAAAAAGCGAATTGATTCTTTATTGTTTAATTTCACATGTATGAGTGTTTCACTTCCATGTGTATTTTTGCACTGTGTGAGATATGAAAACTACAGAGAAAGAAAAGTATTTATAGTCGGGCCCCTTGTATATGGTGGCTTCTCAACAACCTTATTCTAAGGGCACTGGGTTTCAGATGCCATGGAAGACTGGCTTCGAAGCTAGGACTTTTCTTTGAAGAGGAGCCAGGGTCTGTTACCTTTCATCTAGAGATAAGCGTTATCTCCAGAGACTGTCCTGGCAAGTGCCTGTGAGGAAGAGTCTCCAGCAGTGGCGGTGTTAGCAGAGTCGGCCCCCTGCCTGAAGTGGTCTGTTACTGGCAGACAGGCTGAGTCCTGTCAGTCTCCCCCGCAGCTGTTCTTCTACTTACACATTCGTTTTTTTCGTCTGGTTTTTCAAGACAGGGTTTCTCTGTAACTGCCCAGGCGGTCCTGGAACTCACTTTGTAGATCAGGTTGGCTTCAGACTTGCTGGGATTAGAGGCGTGTGCCACCACCTCCTGACCAACTTAAGCATTCCTTGACATGAGTTTTTTGTTTTTTTGGGGTTTTTTTTGACACATAAGATTATTGAATAAATACCCAAAAGTTCAGGGACTGTTGAATTAGCTCAGTAGTAAAGTGGACTTGAATTGTCTGGTCCCAGAACCCATGAAGTAGGAGAGAGAACTGGCCCCTTTAAGTTGACAGGCACACTTTGTACCCTCTTCCCACTGCCAGTAAATAATGGTTTAGAACTAAAAAGGCTTTAATATTTGGGCTTGACATTTTTATTCACCCAGGGTGAGTAAGCATAAGTTAATATGTACAGTTTCTACGTGGTGGCTATTTGAATGAGCTAATTCAGCAGAGTTAATTTTTAGACACCAGTCCTCACTAGCCTAGAACTCACTATGTAGTAATAAATGTTTGACCTTTATGCTGACAGTCTTCCTGCCCTGCTCTCTCAAGTGCTGGGATTCGCAAGCATATGAGCTACTCCGCTAAACAGGGAATTTTTAAATCCAGAACTTTAAGGTCACCTGAGACATGGTAACTAGCAGTTTGCTTATGGTTGGAAGCTGGAACGTGTACACATGTATACAACATTTTGTTTCGGATTCCAGTTGTATTGACTTCATGCTAAAGATGGGACAGTTGTTGCTTACCGACTGAAGGAAAAGGAAAAGATTACGAACTAGGGACTGCAGGGAGCCAGCGGTCCAGGCTTTGTTTGGCAGGTGTTGTTTTCTTCTGTGGCTCCAGCCCCAGCTCACCCCAGAGTCTCTGCCTGTACTTCAGTCTGTCCCTGCATGTTGCTGACAACACGTCACTAATTCAGGACAGGACTAATTACTAACTTCCATAGCGAAGGACAGGAAGGTGCTGTGTGAGGAAACAGACCAAGGAAAAATGGAGAAATGAAACCCAAAGTGTTTGGTGCTTCGCTGTAGACCCGGGTATCTGGCGAGAAGGTCCCACAGCACCATCTCCTGTGAATCTAAGGCGTGGTCTCCTTCCAAGTACAGGAGAAGCAAAGCAGCCAGAAACAGAGAAAACCGGTTAGAACACGAACACCCTCCTCTCGCCTCATTTAGCAGTCCACGTCCTTCCCCAGAGCAAAATGAGCTGTTGAGGAGAAAGTTCTATTTTGATTTATTTCATTATTTTAGATATAAAGCCTTATTCTCATGATAATCACCCTGCCTCAGTTTCTTGAGTACTAGGATTACAGATACCTGACTCTGTTGACTTTATTTCCCTTTTTTTTGTTCCATCCGAATTAATTGTGTTGTTGAGGGTTGGGAGCTACAGCCTTTTGACGGTTGAAGGGGAAAAATGGATTGGTAGAATTGCTTGTTGTTTTGTTGATCAGTTAAAGATGAGAATACTTGGTCTGGCTGTGGTAGGCCTTAAATCCTAGCACTTGGGAGGCAGAGGTAGGTAGATCTGAGTTTTGGCCAGCCTGGTCTATAAGGGTGTGTTCCAGGACAGTCAGTCTCAAAAGGTGTGTGTGGTGGGGAATGACTTGATGCTATTTGAATCATTGCCCCTCCCTCAGACAGAGTTTCTTTGTGTAGTCCTGCCCGTTCTGGAACTCTCCTCTGCCTCCGCAGTGCTGGGATTAAACTTGTATGCCAGCTATTGAATTATCTTAGTGAAAACCATGCACCACTCTAGTGTATGACTTATTAAGTATTGGCAAGCAAGCTATATATTGATAATAAAGACATTAATTCAGTCACTGGTTTATGGCCTTGGTTGCACCCTCCCGCCCCTGTTGATACAAGGTGCTGATTTTCTGACCTCAGCTTCCCGAGTCCTGGGATTTCAGGCATACACCTGCCTCTCTACGCCTGTTCTAGGCTACAGATTTTAATAGTAAAAAAAACCTAACGTTGTAAAATTTCAGATAAGTTGATTAATTAATGTGCCTACTTACTGTAGTTTTTTTTGTAGCTAATTCAGTCCCTTACGTCATATAAACAGAG